TGGCATTTTGGATGGGAAGGGGGAATCCCTAACAATAGACATCGTGCTAATTGAACAGACAGCGCATACAGGCAGAGAGATAATGTGTGACAGAAGAACTGTAGGCCAAAAGGGAAGCAGCAGGCTGAAGCTGAACTGGGCAGTCAGCCTGTCCTTTCATGCCTGTTTAGAAAATTAAAATAGAACTATCTGAGCCTTTGTAGCCGTAAACAGACTCTCAGGGATCTGCATGTTTTCATCTTTTTACAGTGCCTCTGTTGTTTCCATCCATTTCAACTTTGTAACCCAACAGAACAGCACATGCAAAGGAGGAAAGGTAGATTGTTTGGAGATTGGCATCATGTACTTTCAAGTTGCATCTTCTTGTAGTCCTGTCAGCCAATAAGCCTGGATTTTGGGGTAGATCATAAGAAAGTATCACTAGGTGTTTTTCCAGTTTCATCCCCAAGAGCTAAGGAGTGATTTACCAAGTGGACATGATAAGACATGTGCACTACAGAGGTGGGAAGTAAATACATTCTGAATTTTTGCCTCCCTGCAAAGGTACTAACAGAACACTAGCTTTCCATGCCCTTTGCCTGTTTGCAGAGCCAACTAATAGCCTGTAAAAGGCCTCATGAGAACAAGCACCTAACATGCCAGTGGGATGTGGTTTGCATTTCATAGCTGATATTTGCAATTCAGAGCTGAAAAGATAGAGGACGCATCGCTTGCCGCCTTGGCTGTTTATTGCTCAGCTGCTTGATCCATTTATCTGGTCTGTGAAAAGTGACAAGACAAGACGTAACAGCCTGCACCTGGCTTGTAGATTGTAGCCTGTATTTCTCACTTCCTGACTACCAAACAAGTCTGCTTTTCCTTTTCACTGTCTTCACTTTAGCCCAAATGACTTGGCTCAAGTCAGCTCTGTTCACTGTTTGCCCTTGCATAAATTCAGTTGTCATGACATCACAAACGTTACCTCTTTGCTCCATGGCAATGGCTGAACTTTGCGGAGGGAGGGGCCAAAGGTAGAGGAAACAAATCTTGAACTCTGGAGGGAGACTATGAGAGCTGGAAAAATGCACAGGAAGCTGAATACTTACACAGCCCAGCCTTGAGAGTGGAACTGGTAACTTCTTGCATTATGGTTGTTTACTTACGTGTTTTACTACTACGCAGCTGGTCTTCTGACTTGCCAGCTTTCTCCCTGTCCATTGGAGCACAATGACTGAACATCCTGCTTGAACTGAGTGATGGAACAGCTTACATATTGCTTATTACTCTCAACAGGGATTGCACCTTAATCTATGGCAGGGTACTACCTCAGATGATTATCATGGAACAGTACCCGCAAAGGATAAGAAAAGTCAGTTGCACTAGTTTTGCGCCAACAGTACTGTTCAAATGTGTACAGCCCAAGCACCGGATACTTTCAGACACTAGGCATCAGGCCAGAAGCCATTAACAATTACAGCTGATGCTAACCAAAGGTTTCTAGGCGCTGTCGCTGCTGTATCAGCAGTTGATATCATTTCACTGTTTAGCTAGACTGAAGGCCAAAAAGTCAAAAGATGGGTCCTGTGCTTGTACTGTGCTTGTTCTTCACACACTGTTTTTTTTCTTTTGATTTAGGTTAGACTATAGTTTAGACCCAAGAGCTTGTTTGACACTGACAGCTTGAGTACAGAGGCAAAGAAAAGATTGTTGGTTTTGAATGTGAAGAAGCAAACTTTCATCCCTTCGCTTGGGAGCCTGTTCTGTTGGGAATGGCAAGAAATCTACCCACAGCATTCTTCATCTAGGTTTGGCTCAACAGCTGACAGAGAAGTGAAAAACTGTCTTCTCAATGGAAGACAACAGCGAACCTGAGCAGAGCTCCTGGGCTCATCTACCTGATGTCTGCCTGAGGCATGTCTTCCATTGGTTAGATGACAGGGACAGATCTCGGGCTGCCTTGGTCTGTAAAAAATGGAGTTGTGCCATGTATTCAGGATCCCTCTGGAGAAGGAGAACCATCACATTCTATGGCCGACCATCAAGGGCACACACATTGGAGCTTCAAAGTGCACTGTGGTATGTCAAGAAATTTGGCAAGTATTTGGAGCACCTTGAGATCAAGTTATCGAATCCTTACAATACTGCCTTTACCCAAAAGTTTCAAGTCACTATGAAAGGTCTTCTTTCACACCTGGGTAAGTGTAACAGTCACCTAGTATCCCTGAGCATCAAGTACCTGGAATTAGACCGCTTGATCTGGAAAAACATGGTCAGGGCTCAGTTTATCAAGAACTTAGCTACCTTCCTGAAAAAAATGAGCAAACAGCTTGATTATCTCAACTTAAAAGGTGCGGGAGTAACCTTGGAAGAAGGCTGTGAGCTTCTGAATTCTCTGAGCTGCTTGACAAATAAAAGCTTTGTATCTGAAATCAATATTGAGGATTTCTTCAGTCTCCACCCTCCTGTCTACAGCAGCACCTTGTTTCACCAAGCTATGTCCAAGTTCTGCAGCCTGGTCATCCTGTCTTTAAATTATAACTGCATCTCTGATGAACTGCTGGACATCCTGCGGAAGCACAGTGCTCATTCCCTGTGTACCTTGAATATCAAATGTCATATCCATGATCCTCATGGGCAAGTGGTCTGGGGAATGTCGTGGGCAAACTTAGCCAAGAGAGCCCCAAAACTAAATGTGAACTTCTTCTTTGAAAGAGTCATGAAGCATGATCACCTAGCCAGGATCCTGCTAGTGGAGATCCCAGTCAGGAGCATCAGTCTACGGAGCTGCTATTTCAGTGACCCAGACTGGACAATGAGACCTACCCTCACCAATCTCCTCCCAGCCTACTGGCATGTTCTGCAGGTAAGGGAAACAATAGTGACAACTTACTGCAGTATCACAAAGCTAAGTAATCATACAGGCCTTCTGCATAACAGCAGTCATCAGTTAGAATTCCTGACTACTTCAGCTTTATGTTCAGAGGGTAATTTTCATAAAACCGAGCCATTCCAGTGCTCCAGCTATAGTCTAGTTCAGGTAATTATCATTGTCCAGTTAAAATCTCCATTATGCTAGTCCTCACTGTCAGGCTGATGTCAGGTTGCCCTTATAAAAAGCTAAACCACCCAACATACTGGTGGTTGTGATGTCAGCTGTGAGCAAAAAGAACCTTTCAGGGAGAAAAATGTAATTTTTGTAAGAAAGCTTTAGGCTTATTCTGGCTAGATGCCTTCATGTTTAGTAACTGATAAGATTCTTATCCTTTCTGATTTTTCTGAACCCCACCCTTTTGCAGGGAAATCTGCATATGAGGAAAATAGTCTGTACATCTTGTTTGCTTACAGAGCTGTAACTTGCATCAACCTACACTGATGGTTTTGCTCCATTTTGGCAATGCACAAATGTCTTACAGGATATGTAAATTAACTGGTGCCCATGTCAAAGCACTTTGGTGTCACCAAGGATGTGTCACCAAAGGTGTGCAACAGCTGACCCATGTAAATGAGCATGAGGTCTTTGCATGACTAAGGGAACCACACAGCCTTATACCTGACGGTTGCTGACAGCTTTCTTTAAGTTCTTTTGCATTGCAGGGTTTCCAGTAAACACCAGAGATCTGTAAAGCTTTCTAGAAATTGTCTTCAGATCTAGTCTCGTATATGGGATAATTTCCAATATATCAAATAAGACCATGGCATGAGCTGCGGGTGCAGCATCTTCTAATGGTAATAGAAGTTGTGCATCTCTTAGGATGGTATGTAACACACATGGGACACCCTCCCCATCTTAACAGGACAGTGGAGATTACTGTAGCATATACTGTTGTCATAACATAAAACAGTTTCTCTGCAAATGTCAAGGTACAAAATCGATCTGCTGACAGTCACTTCTTTTGGTAAAATTGGGAAACTCTTGTTTACTGAATTCTAGTTACTGCACTCACAAGCTCTGTTCAGTAGTACTAAGAGTGTTCATTCTTTTTCAAGAAATTAACACTTGAACTGAACAATGACCATGAGCTGCTGGATGATGAGCTGCTACAGCTCATCTTATCATGCAAGAGGTTGTTATTTCTGAAAGTCTGGGCATTTCTAAGTGTCGCTTTTATGGAGAGGCTGCTACAAAACCGTGCAGAAAGGAAATGCATTTTGACTACCATAAAGGTAAGACTTTGTGCTTCAAAACTCCCATTCCCTTCCTCTCTCCGATACCCAGAGAAAGGCAAGGTCCCCAAGCCCATAGAAAGGTCACTTATGAAACTGTTAACATAACTACCTTCCCTTCCCTAATGTTTTAGCATTATAACAAGCTTGAGAACCACTCACAGAAATGGGGCTTTCTAACCTACTTAGCCATGTACAGAATACTATAGTAGTTTAATAACAAGCCCCAACAATTCCACAAGTCCTTCCTAGACTGGGGTTCCCTCTGTCACCTCTAGTTCAAGCTAGGGCTTCTCAGTCACCTCCCAAGCCCAGTGCTTACATCTATGCTTAAATTGAGACAGGTGGGTTGAATCCCACTAAACTGTGAAAAGATGTAAACACACCTCTCTCCTTAGGGATGCTGTGTTGAACTGGGGCCAGACTACAATTGCAGCTGGTGTAAACCATGTTGTCATGCTACTTTGCGTGCTAGATTCTGAATTCAGTAGATCCTCCCAGATCCGTGCAGATCCCAGGGATGCATCAGTTCTGGGGGTAAAAGGAACCTTGATCTTTCCACAAATTCTTTGGCAGGAGATGATGTTTTCAGTGAGTTTGGAGTGAAAACATAGTTAAACCTCAAGATTTTACTCAAAACCAAGGAGTTTGGCTTCTCTAGATTCCTCATTAGTCACAGAGGCTTCTTCTTGTCACAAGCTTTAACGGGCTGAGCCTGCTCCATGTATCTGAGAGATATGACTGTCATTCATGCATACAGGTCAGGATTTACATAGCCCGACAAGAAAGCAGTGAGGAGGATCAGCTGTTGTACGATATTTACAGGAAGTTCAAATACCTGATTGACTCAGAGCTGAATTATTTTGTCATCACCTACCCAATGGTGTAAACCGTAGGGAGAGAGAAGAACATCCCGTGACATCTGCAAGCAATGAATGGATCCTTTGGAGGGCATTAGTAAGAGATTTGACAGCAGTGCCTCTGAAAGGGAAGATACCATTACAGCAAGAGAGAGGCAAGGGACAATTTTACACTCCATGCATTAAAATGTTGGACTTGGGAACCAGCCTCCTATGTCTCCAGTATCAATTATTCTTGCCCATGCTTTGTTTTTCCTCGCCAGAACCAAAAGAAGCAGTGAGCCCTTTTCCACCTTTACAGGCATCTCTAGTAAAAATAAGGCCCTCCTCTTTTTTCAGTACTTCACATTGTAGAGCTTCAAACACCTTACCAATGAAGCCCATCTCATTTTACAAATAGGGAAACCGAGACATGGGGTGCGGAAGCGATTATCCCAAAGTCAGCCTTGGCTTGATCTTGACTCTGATGCAATCATCAGATGCGCTATCCAGTGTAGCACCAGTCCCTATCTCCTGTTAAGTTTGATATACACCTTGTGCCTAGTTCTTACTTAACAGCAGCTGTTAAGAACAAAACATACCATGGCTAGTGCTGAGTCACCCCTCCCACTTGCCCAGCTTTCCAACAAGTGACTTATGAGGAGACTCCTGCTCTAGCTTCCACAGCTTCTAGAACTTTCAATAGCAAAAGATAACATCGGTTGCACACAAGATAAATAACATGGAAGAAGGGACATTTCTTATTATGGAATCTTATTGCCAAGTGGGAGGTTTCATCAGGCATTCTAGAGCCTAGACAGCTGTGAAACAGATAGCTGTAAGTACTAGGTCTGTTTTAATTACCTTGCAGAACTAGAACCAGGACAGCATTGAGCCAACCCAATAAATCTGGAGGTTTGTCAATAAAATTTCAGCAGGAGCTGGCTCTTTGGAGCGCACACAATCTGCCAGTATGATGGCTTCAGAAGCTGTTAATGTAAAGAGACTCTCTCATTTGCATGCAGAGCACTTCATCAATGTACAATGTGTTCTCCTTGAGCTGGATCTCCTCCTCCAAGGAAAGCTGTTGGCGTCTCAGACCTTTTAGCTCTGTTTCAGCCTGTGCCAGCGTGTCCTTTAATCTAAAGGGAAAATAAACACAGACATTAGTTGAAAACATGTGGATAGTTTTTTTTCATACGGGATAAAAATTCTGAGTGAAAAAAAAGATGGAAGGGGATTCACAGAGAGACAATATCCATGCAGCTTCCCTTAAAGTGTCCTGCCCTTAAGGGAAAAGCAATTCCCAACCTTTCAGGGAGAAGAGCTGGGACCTGATGTTACTTTGACTCGTTACATTAACCCAGTAATCTATACCACAGATTTTCCCCTCTTTCATCATTTCCACTTGCCTTTGAATATTTTTTGTAATCTCTTGAACTTCACTAATCAGCCTGTATTGCACTGTGTCATAACACAATTCCACATTGGGGCGATGGTTTCTTGCTTCCAAGCGGGTTTGAGCCACTTTAACAGGTCCTTCTTTATCAGCGATTGCTTTCCTTAAGGCTGCAATGTTCTTCTCCTGTGAGGCAGTCTCATTCATCACCTTAACAAATCCAACAGAAGGAAGTGCTGCACACTGTCTCTTACAATGGGTGAAATCATCAACATCTTCTTTAATAGTTATAGTAATAAGAATCACAGTAACACTCATTATGTTAAGAGGTTATTTCATCAAGGGATAGTTTACAAAGATCAGCCAAGATTATGATTCCTTCATTGGAAAGCAGGTGACACTGTTCTGAGTGAAACTGGAGATTTACACTCAGCAATTAATTTTTAATATTAACACTCAGGTTTCATGTACCAAATTTCAAGCACATAGACCATGATTTTATAAGTTATTAGGCTCTTATATCACAATCATGAAAATTCTATAGGAGCCCCATGTAACTAAAAAGTCACGAGAGAAATCCTGACCTTACTGATGTCTACAGCAAAACTTATTGAGTGCATGACTCCAGAAATTCACCTCTGTAGTGGTGCACACAGAGCTGAGAAAATAAAATCTAAGACAACTTTTATAGGAGGGAGGAAAAAAAAAGAAAGAAAATGTGGCAGGGATTGCCTGTATTGCAAAAATAAAATTGTTAAAGCAAAGTAGCTCAAGCCACTGGATTGAGAAAATGGGTAGATAACCCAAGCCCATCGTTTCCACTTTTTCACTGACTGTCCCCTACCACTTACCACTGCAAGGAGTGTCTCTAGCTTGTGCTTAGCATCCTTGACTTCCATCACCCTATTTCTAAACGCGACATTCACCATCTCACATTGCTTGCGCATGTCATTCACTGTCTGTGAGAGGATGCTATCAATCAGCGCCCTCAGTGCCAAAGAATTGTTTCTCTGCTTGTCAGCCTTTTCAACGTTTATATTTGAGAAATCTATCCAGTCTTCAGGGCTAACAAAACTGAAAGAGATGAAAAATATAAGGTCATCAACTGGCATCATCAGGCCCTCCGTGACTTCATAAATCTATAATTACTCCACAAAACCAAGAATAAAGAAGTACTATCAACTGCATGTCCCAGTGAGTGCTAGTTATGCTGGGAATTCTACAGATACAAAATAAAGACCCACTCTGTTGCAAACATTTCAGAATGAAGTAGACAAGGGTAGGATGGAGATGAATTTGCTAAAGTCACAGAGCAACATTGTTATGACTTCCCTTTCTCTGATAAAGGATTAAGTTGTGGGGGAAAAACAGGTAATAACCAGTATTTCTTAGAACACCTTTCATTAAGCAAGCTGTTATTACCAATATAATTCAGCTGTTACTATTAATAGCCGGTAACTATTCACACAAAACATTCACTTATTCTCTCACACAGTTCACCGCCTATAAGACAGTCACTTATAGTACCTGCTTGGAGCAGTATTTGGGAAGCCAACCCCCCAACTGTATCCCCAGAATTCAAGGGTAATACTTGTGCACCAGTGGCTTGCAGGCAGGTGTTTGGAAAGTTCCTCAGAGGGTTGTTTCATTGGATGGATATATAAAGCTGTAATTGTCATTTGCATATAGCAGCCAACACCATTCTGGGTGTGGTCTGAGTTATACAACCTGTTGATGCACACTGATGTGCTAGCAGCAAGTCAGTCTCTTGGTGTTACAAGTTGTCAGTTCTCGCAGAGCCAACAGTGTCCTTGGGAGACTGCCTCTCTCATACACACTGCTTTCTCAGTATGTTTCCTCTTTTCAGCCTGTTTTTCTGTGGTAGCTATTTCTCCATCTAAACCATTCACACTAACAAACCCACACAGAAAGGGTGCATTTGACAGGTAAATAACTGAGTCAGAAACTGACTCTGCACCTCATGCATCCCAGTCCAGTGTTCTCCCCACTAGGACACCCTGGGAGAGGAGAGGAAGTTAGATTAGTAAATCTATTCTGGGTTTAATTAATGTGTGAAATTTTTCCTTAGCTAACTGCAAGCCTCAAAAACCTTCAGTAAATGGCAGTTCACTGGGAACATGATTATTGTGGCTTATTTCACAGACATATTACACAAATACTAAAGTGATGGACAGAAGTATAAAAAAAACTATAACAGAGATGATGGATAGCTATAGTCTGTTTCATACAAAGTTACTTTAATCTTGCTATTACTGGAACAGCTTATACTAGCCGTATAATTATCATATGTTAATTACACTAAATAACCACTTACTTTCCTTCTATTTTCACTGCATTATCAGCATATCTGATATCAGGAGTGTTGTTTGTCAGGCTGGCACAGTAATCATCAATCATCGAAGCTGTGAACTTGTCCTTCAGATCCATTTCCAGGTTGTATTTTGTGGAACGGTTTAGTCTAGGAGGAGAAACAACTGGACTCTAAGCCAGAGTGTAGACACTCACAGGTATTCCTAGCACGCATGCATACACGCATTAGGTAATACAATTAGTTGCAAAGTCCCAACATCTAGAGCATGAAGCTGCCTCCATATAAGCAATTCCCACTGGAATTAAAGGCACAGGACTTGATCATGAGAAGACCAGGGATCATGTGCAAGTACTTTGAGTTCTAACAAACAGAACTTCTCACCATTACTGATCGAATAGTATGAATTAGGACTGACCTCATGTAACTGTTAAGCACTGAAGATAACTTTGGACCTGTGCTCAGCCTAACCCTACAACTTCTCAGAATTAAGGCTGTCCTACTTTTCAGCTAATCAGTGTACAGTTACGCTCTTTGTCTCTGCACCTGATTTGCTCATTGGTTTGTTCCAATGTACGTTCAAGCAAAGCAATAACCCCCTGGAGGACTTCAGCTTCCTTCACCAGTTCCTGTTCCACTTCATCATGCACCAAGTCAATCCCAGCTCGCCTCTGCCTAAACAAAAAGAGGAAAAGCCATCAGCCACATCGTTCAAATGCCTGCAGCTAACACAATGTGATGAAGCCCAGCTTTCCAAATTGAAGGCTTTTCCTTGTGACACAGGAAATTTTTCCTTTATGGCCTTGATTCCCCAGTGTTACAACACCTAAATCAAACTGTGACTCCCACTGCAAAGACAGGCAGGCCCTTAGTTTGCAGCCTTTTTTATTATTTGTTAAATATTCATTACCTAGATTTTTTTTTCTCTCCCTGAATGCTTTTCTTCTTAATCATCTCACCTGTTCAGGAGACACTTTTGTGCAATGACGAGTGGCTCTTTGCAGCTCTCCAAGGATTTCTCCAGCCTAGTCTTGAAAGTCAACAGTACCTCTGTCTCATGAACAATTTGTTCAAGTTTATTATCTAATTCTTGCCTCCAGAATTTTATTTCTTCCTGTCTCTGTTCTGCAGAATGAAAATTGCAAACAGGTATTAATACAAGCCCAACTTATGTGCCAAAGCGCTGTGGGTCAGATGTTAGATATGGCTAAAAATAGACTTATTCCATAGTGGAGTGCATGTAGTGCTGATGCGTGGAGACAGTTTTGCAACCCTGTGTCAGGAGGTTTGGTTGCAACAGCTTTCTATGTGTTTTGGAGAAG